ACGGCCGCGGGGGGGACAGGGAACCCAGGAGGGACAAGGGACCCCAAGGGGCTGTCAAGGGACCCCCAGGAGGTGACAGGGACCCCAGGAGGGGACAAAGGACCACAGAGGGGGGGACAGGGATCCCAGGAGGTGACAGGGACCCTGGGAGGTGACAAGGGACCGCGGCGGGGGTGGGGGGGACAACCCCAGGAGGTGACAGGGACCCCAAAGAGGGACGAGGGACCCCGAGGGAATGACAAGGGACTGTGACAGGGGAAAGGGAGCCCAGGAGGTGACAGGGACCCCAAGGGGGGACAAGGGACCTGTAGGAGGTGACAGGGACCCCGAGGGGGGACAAGGGACCCCAAGGGGGTGGCAAGGGACCACAGCGGAGCCCAGGAGGTGACAGGGACCCTGAGGGGGTGACAAGGGACTATGGGGGGGACAGGGACCCCCAGGAGGTGACAGGGACCCCCAGGAGGTGACAGGGACCTCAAGGGGGTGACAGGGACCCCAAGGGGGTGATAAGGGAGCACAGGGGGCGGGACAGGGACTCCCAAGAGGTGACAAGGACCCCAGGACGTGACAGAGACCCCAGGAAGTGACAGGCACCGCTAGGGGTGACAAGAGACCCTAAGGGGGTGAGAAGGGAGCACAGGGGGGGTGACAAGGACCCCCAAGAGGGGACAAAGGACCACAGGGGGGGACAGGGACCCCAGGAAGTGACAAGGGACCCCAGGAGGTGACAGGGACCCAGAGGGGGTGACAGGGCCCCGGGAGGTGACGGGGACCCCAAGGGGGGACAAGGGACTGTGACAGGGGACAGGGACCCCCAGGAGGTGACAAGGGACCCCAAGGGGGTGTCAAGGGGCTACAGGGGAGGGACAGGGACCCCAGGAGGTGACAGGGACCCCGAGAGGTGACAAGGGACCCCAAGGAGGTAACAGGGACCCTGAGGAGGTGTCAAGGGACCATGGGGGGGTGACAGGGACCCCCACGAGGTGACAAGGAACCCCAAGAGGGAACAAGGGACTGTAGTGGGGTGACAGGGACCCCGAGGGGGTGACAGGGACCCCAAGGAGGAACAATGGACTACGAGGGGGTGACAGGGACCCCGAGAGGTGACAAGGGACCCCGAGGGGGTGATAAGGGACCGTGGGGGGTGACAGGGACATCAAAAGGGTGACAGGGACACCAGGGGGCGACAGGAACCCCCAGAGGGTGACAGGAACCCCAGGAGGTGACAAAGGACCCCGGGAGGGTGACAGGGACCCTGGGAGGGTGACAGGGACCCCCAGGAGGTGACAGGGACCCCAGGGGGTGACAGGGACCCCCAAAGAGTGACAGGAACCCCAGGAGAGTGACAGGGACCCCCAGGGGAGGTGACAGGAACCCCAGGAGGTGACAAAGGACCCCGGGAAGGTGACAGGGACCCCCGGGAGGTGACAGGGACCCCGGGAAGGTGACACACACCTGGTGCTTGTAGCAGTCCCTCCGCTCCGCCTGTCCGCCCTGACAGCCGCCCGTCTCGGGACAGGGCCCCCAGGGGCGGA